GCAATGTTAAAATTTCATAAATATTCTAAAATTAGCGAACGTCACTTAAAATCTTCTTTACAAGTTGCTGCCCACTTCATCAGCTGAATCCAGTCTGTTTGCCCGGCTCTTCCTCCTGCACCAGAGTTGTAAAAGTTTCAATTAAAAGCACCCTGAAAGGGAAAAACTTACAACTTACAAAACAAATGCAATAGTTTTCTTTATTACTTTTTTTCAAACTAAGCAATAAAAGTTGACGTTCACTCTTAGTTCAACTGTAGCGAAATTTGTCTCCTTTTTTAGGTCAACCGTCACACGCGTGCGAAATGAGATTTACTGGAAAAAAAAACCTTTTGATCAAAGTCTATTTCAGTAATTATTGTCATGAAACCTACCTGATTAAAATGGTTGTTCGCTATGTTCGATGGGTTGTTTTCTGCTGATCCGCCACTGTAAACTGTCCATTTTCTTCCCATTTAAGTTTCCTGTGTGTTTGCGAATCAAGCCGTGGGTGTCTCCATTGGCATATGGCCTGGATAACCGTGGCGGAACGTTTCTTGTTTTCTTCAACACATACAAACACACAATTTGTAGAACACACATAGTTGTAAATACAATGATCAAGGAACCGAGGTCTTGACAGGACTCCATGATTTTATTTCGTGTCTTCTTCTCAGTTTTGTTGCCGCTACAGTTAAAGTAGTTGAAGAACAACTGAACCTGCGATGTAACTAGTTGTTACATGCCACTTTAAGTAATCGACCACCGTCCGTGTCCCGCGTACCTTGAACGTCAAGTGGCACTTGTCTTCATAGAATCGAAAACACGCAAATCACGAGTCAATCTGCGGATTTTTTCCATAGTATAAACTAGAAGTGCGGTAATGACTACTTGGTTTTGTTCCGTCCCTTATCTAAGGGCGGTTTAAATTTTCCTTGTTTTCGGACTGTCATTAAAGCGCTACGCCTCTGTTGGATAGGGAGACTTTTAAGTAATCCACTTGACACTTGGACAGCAATTCCCAACTTTCACTTTGAAAAACATGGTGGACTCTTGTTTCTACTTAATTGCAATTACAGTGTCGAAAAGTTAGATAAGAAAATTCCCTTATTTTATAGGGAACTACTTGAATACTTTCAGGAATTGCGTAGCAACTGCGAAGATCCACTACAGCGCGAATTTATATTATGGAATAATAAAGATATCAACGTTGAAAACAAATCGGTGTTTTGAAAGTCTTGGCGTGATAAAAATGTCTTGTTTGTGCAAGATCTGCTGAACAATCAAGGTAATTATCTATCCCCACAAGAATTCAGTAATAAATATAACATCAAGGTTAATTTTCTGCAATACTACCGAATCATTACAGCCATTCCAGCGTCTCTCAAAAGTTACGCCTTCACTCATTTAGATCTTGGAAAACTGAACTCGATTTCTGAAAATGTCGACTTCCAGATATCTAAAGATGTTAGTTTAAACTTAAAGAAAACTTCGTGCAAGCAGTTTTACAAATTGTTTACAGAGAACATAAGTATTGAACCTACTGCGGTTACAACATGGCGAAAACATTGTACTGTGGTCGCTGACAAGTGGGAGCAATGCATTGAGAACAATTATAAAATCACTCGAGATAATAAGCTAAGACAATTTTATTTTAAATTGTTACACAGAATAATAGTTACTAACAAGGAACTGACACGCTTTGGGATAACTGATTGTACTATGTGTGTTATGTGTGGCGAAAACGATTCTATAGAACATACTTTCTTTGAATGTTGCTCTTTTCTGAAATTATGTGACGAATCCCTTCAGTGGTTCAATATATCTCACAAAACCAATATTAAACTCACGCCGCTTCAAGTTTTTCTCAATTTACCAACCCCAGCTTTCAATCTTTCCAATAAACAAACCAAGGATTTGTGTCTTCATCTGTTATATGTAAAGCAGTACCACTATGGATGTAAATCAATGCAAAAGAAAACAGACACATCTGAATTTATATCTAAATTTATTATGCAGCTTGAAATAGAAATTTGACATGATAGTGCCACCCTCCTCTCAGCTTTATATGTATATTAATGTAATACATTATCTTTAATATGTGTAATCGATAGAAGTATTTTAGTGGCCAATACAGGAACATTTATCTAAGTGCACAATTGTAAGTATTTTAACGTACTTTTGTTTAATAAATAAAATTTAAAAAAAAAAGAAAAAAAACTACTTGGTGCCGATTTTTTGCTTGTGGCATAAAATATAAGTGTTCTCGGACTAAATAAAAAAGAAAGACGACTAGCTATGATTAATGACCCATGTAAACAAAACCATGTCAACACGTAATACCGGAAAGGTTATCGGACTTGTTTCTTCTCTTTGTAGTTTGTAGTTTCTGTAAATTCAAAGGGTATTTAAATTTAAATTAGATTCAGAAATATCTGTTCAACCACAGTATATAGATTGGAATGGTTATAAAACCAGTCAGACTTGTTTGTTATATGTTTTTGTGGACCTGACGGTGCACAACGCTCAAACTCATTCCTATATCATTTTGATATCATTGACCGCAAGAAACGGCGTTGCATTTATTTATTCCGTCACAATTTGCCAACAGGAAACAACGGATTTTGCATCTGCAGGGAGCTTCCAACATAAACTACAGTACCGTTGTTTTTTATTTGATCAGTGTTTGTTGTCGTTCATAACCACAGGAAATAAATCGACCCTTTCCGCAGTGATAGATGGTTTTCTATTACGCCGCAAAATGTAACAATTAACAGAAAATGTAACATTAACGCGAAATAAGACGACTTTTGACGCGAAATGTAACATTAACCCGAAATGTAACAACTTTTGACGCAAAATGTGACAACTTTTTAACGCGAAATGTAACAACTTTTTGACGCAAAATGAAACGACATTTTTAACGCGAAATGTAACAGATGTTATGACGTCATCAAAGTCAAAATAGCGAGGTTTTGCAAATTCTTATTTACACTGGGGTGAAGATAAACAAATAGTAAATCTTTGTACAAGTTTCCAGTCCCGTAGTGTGTTTCATTTCAGCAATTTGAACTTAGGAGTTTTCACAGTGCTTGACACCAAAATAGGAATGCTGTCTCGTTGAAAAAAAAGTCTCTCCTCTTGATTTTCAGCAGTATAACCATTTCAAGTGTTAGAGAATATGTTTATGCGCAAGTATGCTAGTTCTCGAGTGAAAAGAAAGAGCTTTTATAGAAAAAGGGAACTCCAGATGTTTTTGTTGATTTCCGGCGACCATATTGGTGCACAAAAACGGTGCACCAATGTGTCGTCGGTGCGTGAAACGTTTCGGCAAATAACCCAAAAACTGTGCGCCACAAAGACCTGAGACTGTTTAATTATTAGTGTTTTATAACATTTCATTTTCTTGGCTTCTTCCATGGGACGGTTTCAGTTCAATTTATTTTTTTGTCGCGTGATAGTGAAAACGATCTCTAGACTGAGCCCGGGGGGGGGGGGGGAACAAGGGCTTAATGCAGGGGGAAGTACGGCCAGCCAGGGTATGTTTTTCGGGATTTTGTTTTAAATAGGGTATCGATTTTATTATTTTTTGTCTTAATCAGGGTACCGATTTTATCACTATTTTTGTCTTAAACAGGGTATCTTTTCTTGGACGATAAACAGCGTGCGCGTATGTTCTTCGAACTAAACTACAGCAAAATTATTATTCAAATTATTATTTGAAGAACATCCTTTCATATTTATAAAACTATTCATAACATATAAGTTTACAGCACTCTATTAATTTTAATGTCAATAATGTAAATATCAAAAACTGCTGACCAAAGAAGAACCTTGCCCGAGGTCACAAAAGCAACCATTGGTGTCAAACGCTACAAGGGCGCTATCCGCAGCAAGGAATTGAGGCCAAATCCGAAGCAAGCGCAATTATATTAAGGGCGGTATACCGTATATTGATATACGTTTCGGATCAATGCATTAAGTCATAATCCTCATAATCATAACTATAACAAAATTGTCAAATCTGATTGGCTATCAACTGCCCTGATTTCAGCCTTAATTGGACAGTTTAATAGGACAGTACTCGTCATGCCTAAGTAATTGGACAGTACGCGCCATCAAGCGCGCGCTTAAAAATCACTCGTGATCGATTAAAGAAATCGGACTCCCGCTACGCGGTCGTCGGATTTTGTTAATCACTCGTATGATTACAGACCGAATTGGACTCCACTCAGTCCTGTTACCATTACTTACTTCACTATGGAGCACGACTCAATTACAAATCAAATATCATAAGAGTAAAGACTCTCCAATGTTGCATCGGTCGAACAAAGTGAAGATATCATAGAAAAATCCGGGATTCCACTGTACATATTGGGAGTTTCGAAACTGAAAATTGCTGGTAGGAGAAATCGGGGATTAAATTAAGTGATTTCCATGCAGGCGAATCGCTTTTTGTTGGAAAAACTGGATTGCACGGTATTATTAACCTTTGGGAAACCTGAAGATAAAAAAAGGTCACGAAATTCTTAGGTGAACAAAACAGGTTCTAATCACCCAGACGCATAGGCCAACTAACACCCAGCACGAATTTTTTAACAAAGTTTTGAGCTGTCCTCGAGAAATGGAAATTTCCCGGCATCTAGCGTGGGTTCGATTGGGAAATACTGAATTTGTATTTTGAACCTGATTCTGATTTTGGAATCGAACAAAAAATCCAAAAACGGATTTTAACCACGAGAAATCCGTCCTCGAGATGGGTAACGCGTTTCAATTAAGAAATCCAAATCCGGATTTTACGAATTTCGTATTTATACCGTTTGACTCGGAAGCCCGAAAAAGACCATTCTCGAGACCAGTTGTCCTTTTTATGCTGAATATGCGTACGTGGCAAGAGCGCTGTTTTTAAGAGCAGTTTTTCGAATCCTTTATAGGATTTCTCCCCTCCCCCCTTCCAAAAAGAAATTAAATAAATAAAAATACAGCAGTGATGATCAAAATACGTTATCCATTTCTGGCGTTTCAATCAAGCATCAAACAATGCATTTGGAGGGGGTTATAATCGGAAGTATTTTTTGTTTACGGGTAGATGGGTGTATAACTGAGGGCGCTTTTAAGCAGTGGTTGAGGGTTTTTCCCTTTTTCAGCCTGACGGTGACGGGACGGTGGACCAGTTTTCCACCCCCAAGGCTCAATCAAGTCAGTCCACTAAAAACGACTTTCGCAACACTAAAAGATGTCTCTAAAAAGTAACCAGTAAAATTTACCACTAAGTTTTTAAATTCCAAAGAACTAACTGAATGAAATGTTTTTCAAGCCCGAGTCTTGAACTTCAAACTGATCCTTACGGCAAGGCGATGAAGAAATAAACAAAAGAATAAAACAAAAGATATATTATTTATATTCAAACAAATTGCCCAATACTTCAGTTTGAAAACAAACCTTCTTCAGGGGCTAAGAGAAAAATGAAAATAAAACTAAAAGCCTTGTCGTAAGGATCAGTTTGCCGTTTCATATTTTTCTACAAGTTTAATTGTACTGATCCAGGTCTACAACTGGGAGATCCGGCACCACTCATTGCTTTGTTGCTGTGGACTTGCTGATATTGTGTATATCTTAAACTTAATTAAGAAAGAAAACGGGATTCTCAAAACCAACGCTGATTAAAGTTTAGAACAAAGACTCTTTCCAGCTGCGAGACACACTTGATCGGCCACGCGGATTCCAGTTTCTATCGCAGTTGGTACAGTTGAGCACGATCGAAGACTTGTAGCTTCACCCGCAAAAAACAAGCGATCTTCAACAGGAGTGGTAATCACGTGACGAAGATCGTACGCGTTGGCAGTAGGGGATGTGTACCCACCGCGAATGAAGGGATGGTTTGACCAATGAAAATATACGTAGTCTAGGAAAGAATCGGTAGCAGGACGAGGATCGCTGGGTGTGCTGTGAAAAAATAATAATAACGATAATAATTTTGATAATAATAATGATGATGATGATGATGATGACGACAACGACTCTACATCATGCTTTGCATCTGCAGGCTGATATTGACAGGCTTTACTTTAAAAGATCAGAGGGTGGTAGAGGATCAATGAGTGTTGAGGACTCTGCAAATAGTGAGATCAATAGACTTAGCAGGTATGTTGAGGGTTGTAACGGCTCCCTGTTGGAGGCAGTGTACAAGGAAGAGGTTCTAAGATGTTATGCTAAAAGTTGTGAGGCCGAATCATTACAGCAAGAAAGGAAAGAGCGCTTTCAGGGGAAACAAATTCATAGGGAGTTTTGGAGAAACACGCTAGTAAGAGATAAAAAGACGCGGAAGTGGCTGATAAAGGGCAGACTAAAGAAGGAGACGGAGGGTCTGATTATCGCAGCAAAAGACCAAGCTTTATGAACGAATAGTATAAAGAGGATAATTGACAGGTAAAATGTGTCTGCAAAGTGTAGAACGCGCGGAGAAAGTGATGAGACAATTAGTCATATTGTATCGGAATGCGAGAAACTTGCTCAAAAGCAATTTATATTGATGTTGGAGGCACAACAAAGTGGCGCAGGTGATTCACTGGGGCCTATGTGAAAAGCTGGGTTATGACAGGGATGAAAAATATTACAACCACGAGCCACGACCAGTGTATGAATGCAGTAACAACAAACTGCTGTGAGACTTCAAAATACAGACTGACAACAAGGTTGAACACAACAAGCCTGACATTGAGGTATTAGATAAGATAAATCGGAAGTACCTAATTATTGACGTTGCTTGTCCATTTGACACCCGAGTGAAAGGGACGGAGAAAGAAGAAATTTAGAACTACCAAGAACTGAAGCGCGAGTTTAAATGAATCTGGAAATTGCGCAGAGTAGCTGTAGTGCCAGTTATAATTGGTGCATTAGGAACCGTCTCGAAAGACATAGAAAAGTGGTTCACAGAGATTGGCGTCACATGCAGATTAGAAGCATTGCAGAGAGCACGCTTATACTGGGTACAGCCAAAATCCTTCGCAGTCTTAGCCGGACACCTACGGTCACGGGTGGTGACTTGATGTTTAAGGAAGACTCCAGCAAGCCATACAGATACTTTGTTTAATGAGGATAATTATAATAATTATACCGAAGGGGCGCACTTAGCTAAGGAGAGACTCATGAGGAGTTAGGCCGTTTCATTTGTGACACGTGTCCTGTATACTGCTAAGATGTCGAATAACTCTAGTAAGGTGATAAATAATGAGAGGAAGTTGAGCTTGGTGAACTAGACGCCAATAATAGGCATACATTGGGCTGCACGACTCAGTGGTGTAATGCTTTGGAGAGTATATTGCTCTGCTATACCAGCCAAGGGATTATAAGCAGTGTTCATTTCACGAAGAATGGGGCCGCTCTTTTTCGTAAACATTGACTTTTTGTTTCCTTTTACCACGACATGACTTCGGCGTTTTCATTAAAAATTTTTAAGTACTTACAATATCAAAATTTTCTTACCCGAACATCTCATCCAAATAGCTTAAGAACCCCTCCAAGACCTGTTGCCCGCTGAGGCTACTTTTCTGTTCCCCAGACTCAGCAGTTTCAAAGCCAACAACCACGTGACACTTGTCATCAATAACAGCCGAGTCCCGTGACCACATCCATATTTCACTTGTAAATCCCCGTACACTGTAAATTTGATGAAGTTTCTCGGGCCAAAACCGGCGTTTGAATTGACAAATAATTTTCCACGCTCCAAGCATCTGGATCGTGTTTATGGCTCTGTTTTCGTCAGCGGGAAGTTCTGGAACAAAAGTGATGTCCCTATCTTTGAGGATTGTAAGCGGGACAGTAATGACGACGTATTTAGCGGTCATAATTTCCCCGTGTTGATTCTTTAAAAGAATTCTTCCACCAGCATTTAATCTATGCCTGTCTTCATCTGCAAAAAAAATAGCGCTCACTGAACTTGAAAATAAACACTTCTTAGCAGAGAGTTGCAAATGTTTCAAAACAAAATGTTGCATAGAGAATCGACTTTACACCGTTATGTCAGCGTTTTAAACCAGACTTCCCTGACCTGGAGCAAGTTAATCCCAAACTAAGCCTTTGACGGGCGTTATCCAGACCGGTTACCATTTTAGATCACTTTTCCGCCGAAATTTAGGCCCAGTTCATAGGTCGTGCTTCCACAGTGCTTTTGTCAAACTTATTCAAAAATTAAGTCGGCATGGCAGAAACATGACGTATGAACTGGGCCTTAGTCCGCAATAGTTAGACGAGGAAAAATGAAAACAATCAAACGACCTTACCTTTTATAAAACTACCATTTCTCGACCTCAAATTTTTTATTAATTTTTGGGAATACCAGGAGTCTAAACTGTCTCTAAAACGTTCTGGCGTCTTTTCAAGTTGCAGGGTTTTAACCCAAACATACCGCGTCTTGTTCTCGTTAAAAGGAATTTCGGAAACCAGAGACTTTTTTATCAATGCGCTAAGGAATGGAACTTTTTAGACGCATCTTTTAAAGAAATTAACTCTCTTCTTTTTAAACAGAGCTGTAAAAGCTGTATATTTTAGATATTTATAACTTTTAATATTTAATTTTAATCTATCTGAGAGTCTATCTGACATTCTGTCATTTTTAACCCGTAGCTTATATTAGTTAAGTTTTTGTTCTTAACTTTTACTTGTCATTACTACAGTCAAGTCCCTTTGGGACCGGCACTAGCTGTCCGTCTTAGAGAGATGTCCGTCTTATAGAAAGTCAAATAGAGGGAGCTAAGAAAGGCAGGGACCAACTCTAGGTGTCCGTTTTACAGAGGTGTCCGTCTTATAGAGAGTCGACTGTATTACGTATTCATTTATCCAAGATCATTTATTTTTTCTATTGTTTTACAGGACCTCATTGAATATCACTCTTTGTGAAGTGAGCTCCCTGTACAAAGATTGTTATAATTATAATAATAATTATTATTATTATTAAAAATTGTTGTCCGTGACATCACAGCTTTTTTTCTGTAATACGTCTTTCATTTTTAATCAGAATAGCAGTAACACCTTAGACTGCAATACAGTCGTTAAGTCTTTTATACGAATGCATACGGTCCTCAAGCCAGACTTCTAAAACAAGTGTGATAACGAACAAAGAGAGTCGGAAGAGGCATGTGTGTCGAACATAGAGACTCGAGCTACTCGCGCGCTTTCGGGTGCGTGAAAGTAAACAGATGTACCGCAGTTTAACTTAAAACGAACTTTAACATTGCACACCTTGTCCATTCAAGCATAGCAAGAACATTTAACGTAAATGACAGTTACAGAATCAAACATACATACTGTCTACTTCAGTATCTAAAAGATGACTGTTTACTCCTTACCTTTCCAAACGATTTTCTTAACTTGCCAGTTGAGTCGTTTATCCACATCTGTGGTGTTATCTAAGTAATACTTTACCAGTTGGGAATATGATTCAGCAAGTCTGAAGTGTCAAACACAGGTAAAAAGTAAGGACAAGCTCCCCGAGAGGGACTTCATCAACAAACTCAAAATTAAGAACCACCTTGTACAGCATAATAAAAAGTAAGACAGGAAAGGAATACTCAGAAGCTTTCAGTTGAATGGTCACACTTTAGGATTTCATCCACAAACTCAAAAGTAAAACCACCTTTTGAAGCACAATAAACAGTACCACAGGAAAGCACTGCTCAAACGCTTTAATGTGAATGGCCACACTTTACGAGTTAATACTTGAATTCAAAATTAAAGTTAGGACCACCTTGCACAGTACAACCATTACTTTGTCCGAAGACATACTATCAAGTCATACTGTACGACCTACAAAGTACTGAGCTCACCTGCAATTTCCAAGACCCCACTCAAATTTCGATTCCATTCTCCTTCTTCCTTCACGTACTCCATAATGTGTCAAAGACCCAGCTGAAATCTTTAGTTTCCAGTAGTCAATAACGTCCAAAACATCCTGCGACAATCCCTGGTCTTGAAACCTGTCATTCAGGGAATCTGACAGCGAGCCATCCTCATTACCTTGGTGATTGTATCTAGTGCTGATTATTTCTTCCCACGTATCTCTGGCGACTTTAATTTCTGGCTGGCTGCTGGACAGAGAGTAAAATTTTCCTTTGTAGTAAATTTTTTCACCTTCTTCTTCATCTTCACTTTGGGCTGCCTGCAAAGTTTAGGGGAAAAACGTTATGCAGCTCAGGAACATAAATGGTTTTCAAGTAAAATTTGAAACGTTAAAATGATAGCTAGTGTCCATCATAGAGTTAAGCTGGGTGTCAAGCTAGGTTATATTTGTGATCTGAGGATTATTAACCAAGGGTATTGATTTTAAGGGATAAATAATTTTTTATACCAAACAAATTGCAACAGATCAGTTTTGAGAGTCAAATTAGGCCGGTTCAGGAATTTCAAACCATACCACAATGGCATTTGCCCAAAAGGCAAAAAACCATGTAAAGTTGAAAATCCTTGTTCCACGGCCATTTGCTTCCTTCCATCTAATTACACAGGAAGGCATTTTGCTTTTTACTTTGCATATTGGCATATGCCCGCGAAGTGAATGAACTTGAAAGGGCTTTTTGGTAAGTTTTAGCACTTAAATAATAGCCAGACAGTGACCAAGAAAACTGGTATGTTTCTTGGCAAAATTCCCCAATGGGTTAAAGACATGTTCACAAATTTTCTGAACTCTCTTTGATGTTTTTGTTTTAAAAAGTCTGGTGTTATAGTCCTAGTGGTTTAGTGAAACAGGAGGGGTGGGGGCGGGTTATCCATTTCAGAGGCTTTTTCTAGAACAAGAGGGGTCATGTATCCAGACATTGATTTTGAATAAACACGAGTCCTGGGACTTATCTTGTGAAAAAATCCAGTTTTGTCCAGAACCAATGAGTTCCATTTGAAATTATTGAAGGACAAATTGCTTTTTAAAAATCTGAAGGGTTCAATGTGTTAACAAGCAAACTGTTATAGTCCTTGTGTTTAAAAGAACAAAGGCTAAATGAAAAATGTGGTTTAACCCATTTCTAGAAAGGGGGATCAGTTTTAGGGCGAATTCTAGAACGGGGTTCAAAAATTGGCCCATTTCTAAAACGCTTATATCAATTTTAGGGGGATTTTTTTTTTAGAACGGGACCCAGAGGCAACAAAATCACTGAATTTGGAGTCCCCGGCGGCACATACAAAGGGCAAGGGTTTCAATATTAAAAAGCTGCAATTGGCGACAAAATTAGTTGAGACACTGTGTCCTAATGAAGCTCCCCCCCCCCATCCCCTCCATGCAATGTTGTGGCAGGGGGCCTTTACAGTCCCTTTCCTCGTCATTGCCGCCTTTTTTCACCATTGGCATCCACTTTATCCCTTTAGGTCCCAAGAGTGACCAACATCAATTTTCTCCTAACATCATCAGCAGATCATCAAGAGTAAAGGTTATGAGAATTACATAAACTGATTATTAAAGGGAGAACACTTCGATCTAAAACCAAATTCTCTCAACCATTCTTAAAACAAATGTATGGAGATCAGTTTGGAGAATTTGTATGTGGATCTTGGGGCTTAAAGGGTTAATATGGAAAGGTTATTTAGAGCCCTGGATAAGGTGAGCCTGCTATTGAAGATAAATCTCCTAATTAAGCTGGTTTTGTGGTCCTATTTTGGCCCAAGAAAGGGGTGGCAAATCTCCCGGGCACCTCTGGGGGTGGGAGGGGGGGGCTAATGGGGATGTGCCACTGGATGGGATCACATATTCATGACTGCATTGACTAATGGGGTCGCATTTTCACTAGAGTTACTAGAATGGGGTTGCACATTTTCGGATTTTTTGGGATAACAAAGTATTTCATTTACAGTTGGCAAACATACCAGAATGTTTGTACTGTAGGTGAAAATTGAAGTGTTCTTCATTCAGTTTAAAAAATGGGTCAATTCATAAAAATAGAAAGTGTCTAAGCTGGGATCGCAAGAATTACATATTTGCCCAAAAGTGACTAAGATGGGATCTATTATTGGTCACAGAAATATAGACTATAATGGGGTAGCGGCTCTGAGAGGCCAGCGGCACATACCCATAAAAAATTTACCCTAGTACCCCCCCTGGGGGCACCTCTTCTAGATCTGCCACTGGTATCTCCCTCTGTGAGGTTATGGCACCAAGAAACTGAGGCAGTAAGAGTCACTGGTACATATGTTGTACTTACAGGAAGGATAGGCCAGCCATTATCCAGAGCAAGCTTATTAACGACAGTGTTTGATCCATGAATAAATTCTCCACCAAGATCAAAAGAACCAAAACCTTTGAAAGGCTGTGCTTGCTTTACTCTGCCACCTATTAAAATATATAATTACAAAATATAACATCTCAGTTAAGGTCATTAATTTTATTGTGCCAAATATCCATGGCAGGCCACGTGGCTCATACTAAAAAAAATGCACTTTATCTGAGTGTCAATGTATTTTGCATGAAAGTACTAATTGGGGACACTATTTTTATGTCTCTAACTGGAGACGGGTTCGCCATTTTACGATGGTCATCAGAGCCACAAAAGACATGTGAATTCACTTTAATGATTTTATACACAGATTCAAATGCTGTGATGACATCAAATGAAAATGTATAAAATGATGCAGAATAGCATAACATGAAAGCCACTCCCAGCAACCACTGGTAAACTTTAAAATCACTTGACTTTTATCAGTGTTTCTAATGGGGGTGCTTCTGATAAGGTGTTTCTTACAGGTGACTCCCGATAACTCGAACCCTCACCAACTCGAACCTTGCACTACTGAGTTATTACTTAAGTTATAACTCAAAAGTAAAAGTTAGACCCTGTAAGAAGCACCCATTAGAAATATAAATATCTCCCATAATTGTTAGGAGGGGACGGGGAGGCTTAAAAGACGGGGGAGCTTGTTAGCTTTCTTCCCTTAAAAAGGCGGGTTTATTAGAGAAAGGGGGGGGGGGCTTAATAAAGGATTTATGGTGTATTACTTTGGAAACTAGTTTGTTTTTCGGACTACTTTTCACTGGCAGTATTACCAGTACAAGTACAATACTGCATATTCAAAGCACCAAAAAGGTCAAAGCAATCAACTTACCTAGGTAGTTAGCAGCCTCTAACATAACCACATCAAACCCAGCCTTAGACAGCGACAATGAAGCAGAAAGGCCTGCTAAACCTCCACCAACAATAACAACTTGATTATCAGGAGAAGGACCTGCTAATCCTTTAATAAGATAGAGAAAAGTTTTTGAACACTTTTAATGTTTTGGTTACTGCATGATCGTATGGCTGCAAAAATACTCATCAGTGATTTAATTGCTGACTTTACAGGGGGGATGCAACTTCTGCTGACCAACTTTTTTCTACATATTGTAGCCCACAATAATATTGCAGAAACAAAATAATATTTAAATTAACATATTAACAGTGCATTTGATTTGATTTTTAGATATTACCATACAAAGGATGCCACAACAAATTAATGATATTTCTAGTCAAGAGTTTATTCTATTCATACTTATATTTCTGGAATTATACGGCTGATTGAACACACCCTCTTTAAGTAAGAGAAGGCCACCTTGCTTTTTATTTAAAAGCAATGAGGCATAGAACTTGGCACTATAGCAAGAACAACCCTAGCAAGTGAGTAAACAACGATTTGAACACAGGTGACCGGTATCACTCCACCATGCTGTCTCCTAAACATAAATTTACTAAAATGTAAATGCAAAAATATATTACCATTCCAAGGAAAAGAAGACTGGACTGCACTTAACATCAATGTTGAACTTTCATTTACTGTTTTCATACAGCTTTGAATACACTGGGCTTCTTGTCTTCCTTCTTCTGAAACACTTAGGGAAGTAATGAGATCTTCACAAATGTTTAAAACAGCAGAGGTTTCCACATAATCTCCTACTACTCCATCCTCAACTTGAAAACTGGGAATCAAATCAGGTTTGTAGACAAGGAGACAAATGTCACTTGAAATTGAAGAGGCCTTGGTATCTATCAGGCGAAATCCTGCCAAATACAAACACTTGGATTGTTGAGACCAACCATGTTTGCCAGCCAATTCGAGTCTATGATTCGCGCTCAAAACACTGAAGATTTCATTACACCTTTCATGTCCACTTTGCTGGGCATACTGCAAAAATAAAAAATAAAATGTTACATTACAAGATATAACCATTAGAATTTATAATCTTTATAATCTAATTACAGTACAGTTATGACTGTACATAATCTGAGAACTTCCTAGAGACAATTTGTCAATATAGAGGAAAATACAAGAAAACAATACAAGAGGTGAAGAGATTTTTGTCATATAGTCCTTCTTTAATTATTATCACATTCAATGCTACTCAATGCTGCATTTGTTAGTTGGGATTTCAATGCACTATATCTATCAGGTTCATTCTGTTTGTGTGATTTATTCATATTTTAACCTAGACAAGGCATTTACAGCAGCAATGTAAAGTTCTAATTAGGTATGTCAAAGGAGTACCATTTGTTTATAGAAGGAATATGAAGGGCGCACTTTTTTCTGTCAAAAATGGTTTAAACAAAGGACAAGGGGTTGGACCTCGGGGCACTGAGCCTCCAGTGTTTTAGTTAATTCTTTCAAGTGGGGAGACATGTAGACCATCTGAGGTGTCACAAAGACCACATGCTAATTTTTTTCGTTATATGTAACATAACACTTATATGTCATCTGTTGCGTCAGGAAGCTTTCTTTGTCAAGTAATTGACCATCTGGAACACTGAGCCTCCCCGTCTAAAGCTTTTTAGAGCACCCCATCAGTTTTCAGCTCTTTACAGGAAGGTTAGAAAAGTAGCCAATTTAAGAAAGTATCCATACACCAGTCTTGCTTTCCCAACCCCTAATAATGATCCCCTTAACACCCCAAACCCCAGAAAAAATAAAACAGGAACAAAAAGCAGAAGAAAAAAATAATTAAAAATAAAATATAAATGAATAAATGGAAAGCATTATTGCCCTTCTCAACCTAAAGGAGGCTCATTAGACATTCGCTGAAAAGAGAAGCTGCCTAATTTTCGAGGCCCATGCAAATAAGAGTTGTAAGTAAGCTTAAATATGAACCTTATTGAGAATAGAGATGGCCTCCTTCAGTAGCTCTCGTGTGCTTTCAATCTCTTGATCAATCAGATCATTCCATTTTAATATCTTTACAAATCCATAGTTCCCACTGGCAAAGTACTGAACAAACAGGCTACAAACAACGTTGGATAAACTCCCTTTTGTATAAAATCCCTCTTCGTCGAAACCCACAAGGATAGTTTTCATTTGGACTTTCATGAGCTGCCTCTTCCGAAGAGTATCTTTGATATAGTGTGCATTGCTGCTGTCAATAATTTTTAATAGGGATTCCTCGAGATCCCCATTGTTAGGGAGGAATTCTGTAGCTAAGTCCAGGATTCGCATTGTGTTGCAGGAGTTGCAGTGAGATTTCTGCATTGTGCGTGAACTCGTTGCGTGACTATTCGCTCAGCTTTTCGTGACGTCAGTAGATTCCAGTCTCCCACGAGAGAAGTCCCACGAGCGAGCAAACGTTGTCCAAAATGGCGGTAAAAGTGTGGTCTTGTGCTTTCATTTGTTGTGTTTCCTGGATTTGGAGCCAGACATAAAGAAGGATGGAAAGTCTACTTGCGTATAACAGCAGTTCGGACGAAGAAAGTGATAGAACTACTAAAATGAACAAAACTCCAAGAAACGCAAAGTGAAGCTTCCAGAAACAGACCAGGAAAAGACCAAGAAATCAAAGATGTTTGTGCAACAGAAAGCGGCATACAGACATATAATTATCAGATGGGGCCGTTTCTTGAACCAACAAATGCTATTGGGCTCAATGAGTGTAGTTATTCTAAATCAAAACAAACTTCCTTGAGAAATGATCATGGTTCCATTGTTTTACAAAGAACTTTTAGTGAACCACAGTCTCCAATGAGTTTTTCTAACCAAGAAAAGAAAAGCCCAGCTTTCAACAGTTCATTGACTCAATATAAGCATTCAAATTCGAGTAGCATATCAGGCAGAAGAGTAAAACCTTACATCTCAAAGAGGAAAAGAGAAAAATTGGCACAAACAGCTTTACCTGGTAGTTCCTCTTCTCCACTTAAACGTCAGTTAGCTGCGGAGAAGTCTAATTTTGATCATTCTATAAAGGAAGTCGATTTGCAACCTAACAGACCTTGTGAAATATCAGATGGAAAACATTTAGCTCGCGCATGCCGGCCGCCTAAACAGTTGCATTTAAATTTTGAAGGTCATTCGCAAGGAGTGAACTGTGTGTATTGGAACCCAACTAAAGGTAACCTGTTATTATCTGCAGCAATGGATCACCTTGTCTGTGTATGGGACACTTCGTGTGGGAGTACATGCCGCAGGACACTTGCACATCATACAGCAGCAGTGAAAGACTCCAAGTGGAGTTTATGTGGAGAGAAAATCCTGAGTTGTGGTTATGACAAAACTGCTAGACTTTCTAATTTGGAAACAGGTAATGTGAATCATGTCTGTAGTTTGAAGATAATGCACATGTCATTGGCTTGTCCCAGGGGTAGGAACTGGGACTAACCAGGGCAATGAATGTCGGGGAATAGTTCTCTACACCTGGCGGAGGGGGAAATTCACAAATAATTATTTTAAATAATTTTGAACAAAAGAGATGGAGAAATTCAAAATTTTTTGAAAATAGTGGACAGCAACTACTGTGAAGTCATGGGATTTACTGCTTTCCCACACCCTTAGATATCTGAAATATAAAGTTGCAAGGAGGGAAATAGGCCTTTTGCAACCACAATTGATCACGTGATCAGCTTTCTGTAAACACAAAACAGTTCGGTTTTGGGAAGTTTTGTTGGCAGGAACTGAAAAAGCATATAAAATTAGCTAACCTGTAAATTTTCTGCGTTATATCTCAAAAGTAGCGATTGCAAAGGCACCAAAAACTAGAAGGATTTGTATGGGAAAAACAACTCTTGCCACCCAGTCACCGCAGTGTGACTATAATATTTCCTTAAGCATAACAGGGCTCAAATTTTCATTTTTTTATGACATACAGATTGAGCCCTTAAATGCGTAAGGAAAAGATTTAACAACAGTGTGAAAATTTAAATTTTATATCCGTACAAGGACTTGCACAGAAAAGCTAGAGTTGTTTAGTTTTTCCCATACAAATCCTTCTAATTTCAAAATGAAGTCAAACAGAGAGTGAGTATAGATGCAAAAAATTGCAATCCTGCTTTTTTCTTAACCATTTTTCCTGTACTTTGGGAAATCTTGTGATTCTTGTGACAAATCCCAGAAACATTTGCTTTGTGCCCAGTGTAGTGAATTTTGTGGGTGTGCACATTGCTTCAGTCTGAATTTCATGTATAAAATTGCTGTTCTTGTTGCCAAAAAGGAATAATAGGTAATATCGCTGATACATTGTAAATTAATAACTAAAGAAATTCAATGAATAACTGAAGTACCTAATTTACATAACTGAATCAACAGTAATAGTGGTCATAAGTGGGCTAAGTTTTGATAACCTTGCCAAGCATCAACTAAGGATAAAAAAGTCCTGTCAATGAGGTGAATATCAAGAGGGGGTTTTCGCAGAGGATGCTTCGTCAAGTTAAATTTCCTCACCCCTCAGAGGGGAAATTCTCAAATTTTGCTCTACCCATTGTACAGTCTACCCTTTTGGGCAAGCTCTGACACTCGTGGGTTTGACACCTTCTCAGCTGAGTCACTGACTTTCCCAGCCCGTGCTCCTTCCTCCTCACCCCACGTACTTTTTACCCTCCACAAGGAGGGAAAGAGGCTGTGCAGAATTAAAATTTTTATTGACACCTAAGTTCAAAATGAATGACAACTGTGGCTTGCTTGTATTGCTGTTCTTGTCTATTTATTAAAATGTGTAATAATTTAAGCATGGAAGTAAGCAACCTGTAGGCTTCCTCTTCTTCATCTCTGAAATTATCATCATTCTCATATTCATCATTCCCGACAGAAAGTGAACCAGAACGATCATACCTTCGGCAAGTTTTCCAAAAACAGCTTCCCCTCCTTGTTTACGATATGATAATTATTCTAGCCACCCAAAACTCTCTTTCCAGCACAGATGAAATCCTCATTTGTGTTTTTCATTTTCGTACTTTCTACTCTTCTCCAATTCTTTTCACTTCCCTTCGCCTTTTTGCATGGTGGGGGCTTAAGGTTTGCGAGCAGTCGCTCCATAAATTACCTGATCTTCTAAGCAACCACATCAAGTGCAAGGTACAAAGTGAGCTGGCCTGGGTCCCAGTGATACTCACAATCAACTGAACAAATGACACGAGAGACAAGAAAGAGGCCATGGACTGGTGGTAGTTTTGTACTTTCTTTATTATTATCCTTACAACTTAAAGTAATTTTTTTTCATTATAATCAATTTCAAAGAATCAGTCAGTTCTTTCAAATTTCTACTAGCCGATGGGCTAGAAAACATGACATTGTAATCACCTGACATAATTTTTACTTGCCTTGGGCTACCAGAGATATCAAAACCTGCCATGACATGTGCATAAAACACAAGTAAATAGTTATATTACTTACTTTATGTGCAATTTGATTGGATAACTCAGTAGTGAATCACGGTCAAAAAGGTAAAGAGTCCTTATTTTACGTTGGTAGCTCGAAAAAGTCACAAGATTAACCAACCTGAGGCTGATGGTGCACTCATCCCCCTCCCTCCCCCCTCTCTCTCCATTAGTGCTCTGTTCTACTGGTATTTAAAGCCAGAACTTAAAGCTACATAGAAAGGAAAGAAGTCAAAACAAAGATTTGAGGCCACACTCAGGGAACAAACATGGCAACTGCCACACAGAAGGCTGTGCACTAGCCATCTGTGCCAATTCTTCCTCCCCCAGATATTCCCCCTTCTTACCCCACATTCTCCTTATACCCAAAAAACTTGAAATCTGAAGGTGAACTTCCCAATAAAGCCAAATACTAGCTCTCTCAAAAACAGCAAGATATTTTCCACAAATAGACAATGTTGTCATTTGTAGAAGATGTAGAACTTTAATGTGCTCCAGCTTTAATTTTTTTTCAGGGCAAGAAATCATTAAATTTCCGCACAAAAACTTTGTCACCTGTGTCCAGTTTCACCCAACAGATCCAGCATTATTTTTGTCTGGGACTTTCAAGTCTGCCATCCTGTGCTGGGATACAAGAACTGGAAATGTAAGTGTACAGAAATTATGTATATTTTTTAACAAACTGTTCTCAGAGTGCCACTTAACTCATGAATAGACTCTCACAGCTCAAAGTAAAATTGCTGGGACTGCTGGCAGTCATGTTGACCCGCCTGAGAAATTTTATCTCTGTCACGTCTCTCCATCTAGCAGGTCATAATGTCAAAAAAACATGATAATAACATGAATATCCTAACCTAGTGAAAGGGGATGCTTGACCTCTTGAAACGTACTGCTGTGAATATGTTTTTTTCACTGGTCACTTGTTTATGTGTCCGGTCAAAATGACCAGCAAACCGAATGTTTGTCCGCATGAATGGCCATCTTGGCTGGACATTGTCTGTTGACTGGCCATTATTTTGAGGCCTGGAATCTACTACAGTAATCTATGTTTTTACATCATTTGCAAAAGAAAACTGTTTTCCATTGAACTGTTTGAATAAATTAATCATTTTTACATTGAACCAAATACTGAACGGGGAATGAGAAGGTATTTTGTTAACTGTAGGTGACTCTCTCAAGATTTTTGTGAGTTGGACCAAGCTGGTTTTGGTGGGATAATAGTAATAACTGGTGAAATGAAAATGCTAAGTAAGAACAGTTTTTATTAAGAAGGTTTCAGATTGGGACCCAAACTCATAACATTTTAAAATTAAAAAAAAAAAAAAAACATTTTCATATTTTTTTCCCTCACAGATCACATCAACATACTCTGCTCTTTTTGGCCAAGTACAGGACATAGCATTTCTTCCTGGAGGAGATGAGTTTGTTTCTGCTGCTGAAGTGGTCAAGAGAAATTCTACGGACAAAGGAATCATGGTCTGGGATTTTAGATCAACTGCAGTATTATCCAATCAAATATATCAGGTCTGTCTTCAGCATTAATCCCTCCTATTTGAAAGGCAAATACGCATTATTTACATAATTTTGGGAACAGGGTTTTCCCATTTAATCAGTATGATTGTTCTGTTTATAAGTTTTGAAGAAAACACAAAGTCACCATTGTCTTCCTGAAAATGGGACCAAAGTGCTCATTAGCCTCTCCAGGGGGTACTCCTTATAATGGTGTATACCAGAGCTCTGCCCAAAGGTGTACCTTTTTCAGGCTTCAGATATACGAGAAGTTAGGGATTTCATTAGTTGATGTAAGAAAATTTGTCATTTTGCTCTGTGAAAAGACAAAAAGGACCAACAGATGTACTTTATGGCTGTGAAGAGATAAGACAACTTCCTGGTTTTGTTGTTTATACATATTAGAAGGATGGTGCATTTATAACAGTTGAAGTGTTCTAAACTGTAGGTATGTGAAAGGGGTCACATTTGTCAATAGAAGGTATATGCAAGAGGTACCATTTCTGTCAAAAATGGTGTATAAAAGGGTAGAGGGTTGAAGCCCGTGGTGGAGTGTTGCTGTATAAGACTTTGTTCGGCAAACACTCTACCTCTCCCAGGACATAAGCAGGGCATTGTCTGCTTCAAAACATGTTTTTCGTTATTGCATATGAGAAAATTGTTGTCTAATGGCAGTTCTCTAGAGGTGACAAAAAAATCTCTAGAATGATCAAACATAATTTGACTGATAAAGACAGTTATTATGAATCATAGCATTGTGCATGTAAACGTACTATTAGAGTTGGAATCTCACGCGTTAGAGAAATAAAATAAAAATTATTATCTTCAATTTTTTTGTTGTCATCCAGGAAGCCTTCACTTGTACCTGCTTAAAAGTCCATTCTCATGAAGCTCATTTTGTGGCCCAGTCCAATGGAGATTACATTGCTCTGTTCTCAACAAGGCAGCCATACAAGCTAAACAAGTTCAAAAGATATGAGGGCCACAAGGTATTATATTCAATTTCTGTTACTTATAAATAATGAATCCCATAGAAAATGGGTTACACTTTATACTATACAGTCTTTTCCATGGGCACCCATACCCCTCCCCCTACTGTGGACGGCAAACTCCTTATGGCAGGGACACTAAAGGAGCTAAATGCCCTACAGTGGGGACAAATATAGAGGGCAAATCCCCTACCTCCAGGATTGCCCCAAATCAACACTACAGCAGTGTTCATTCATTGCACAATAGAGTAGTTACACTTTCAGCATTTTAATGTGCAATTTTTTTCTTGTTTCTGCTCATCTGCCTCTCCATCATTTCTTCATAATAACTTACTATCTGATGTAAATAAACACTTCTATTTATTATTTATACTGTATTGTACTTTATAAAATAACTGAGATAGTACGCGTGATCTGATTGGTCAAAAACCTATGGTTTATTATACCGGTAAACCCATAGAAAAAGGCATCCGGACCACGCGCCATAAACAAAACCGGCTATTGATCTGCAAACAATGATTTTAGAAAGGCTAAAAAAAGAACAAGTTACTTACCCAGCCCTTCTTAATATCAAAAGCGTTGGTTTCCACATTTTATTACTGCCATAGCTTTAGAAGTAATAAAGTACAAAGCTGGAAAGCAGTTTATATTTCACGACGATGCCAAATCGCTGAGAAAGGCAACAACTGTGTGAATTTCTGGTGTAGAAAGTCTCCAGGAAAACTTAACCATGTGCCAACCAGCAACAAAACGGATAGTTTTAGCATTCTTGATTTATTTTATGTCAAAATTAAATTCCTTAATGAAAGAAATTGTTCCAAAAAGAGATCTCTGATCAAGATATGGTACAAAATCGGCCGCTGTAGGTTGTAAACAAGCTGCCAACGATGATGAAAGATGTCAGAGTTTCGGGCTGGTTTTTTCCAACATTTGCACAAATTATTCGGTGATATGGATGCCATAACCTACCTCAAACCACCTGACTTTACAAATCGACAAATATTAACGCCAATATGTGGCTACGGCAAAGAAACTTTTCTCCACCACTGACATGATATTTCCATCGGTCACTGTACGTGCATATGAAAGTTACATGCGACAACTTTGCAAATGCAGCCGCGTCGTTACCGCAGTATTTCTTAATCATAATAAAGTCCAGAAAACAGATCTGAAACCACTGTGGCTTGTAAAATGTGAATGAAGTCCTCCATTACAATAGCTGCCAGTTCCGTCTGTAAGCACAAAATTCTTATTGATCGGCTCAACAAAATACAGCGGCATACAGTCTGATGTTCAATTAATTTCTACTTCGGTAGTAAACAAACCATGAACGTATTTTTTCATTGTACGTTCGCTTGAATAAATGTTGACTTTTCCTGTAAAACAGCTTTCATAAGTTATCATGTAATGAGTGCAAAAACTCGTGTTTTGAAGTGCTGCTGTTTGTTGTTTTACTGAACTGAGTTTTAAGAAAGTTCAACGCTATTAAATCGTGAGTCATGATTGGCTTATGATGACTTTAGAGAGAAGACGTGACTTGATCACGGTACTAAAACCATATTTTTTTACCGAAAAGACTCCATTCTACTAAATGTTATTTTATATGTGGTTAAATGTAATTTAAGCTAAGTTAAACGCGAAACAATGCTGGTCTGGGGTTTCCCTTGTCTCGGTCATGCGCAGTGGTGGGGGATCTGCAGGGGGTCGCGTGGTTTTACAGCTCGGGTTTTGAGGTCAACTCATTTGCACGTGCACTTTTGCCTTTTCGACGGTGCTTGGCGACTTTACTCCCCGCCCTTCCCTCCCCCTTTTTCCGGTAAGTATGTGGTAAGTATCATGGTTCCACTGTCTTTTGTCAGTGTGACGGTGCCTGGTGGTTGCCGCTCACAGGGTTGTCATGGTTACCCTACGCGCTCGGCTCCGGTGCTCGAGGCCCCACCATCTTTCCAGGCACCTTCCCCAAGCTCATCTATTGTTGATGAGTTTAAAAAAGCAATAGACCACACTTTCTATGGGTTTACCGGCGTGATAACCCACTTGGGATGTTGGGAGAACACTCGAAAAGCTTGTAAATCACTCGCCTTCGGCTCGTGATTTACAAGCTTTTTCTCGTGTTCTCCCAACATCCCGCGTGGGTTATCACGCCGGTAAACCCATAGAAAGTGTGGTCTATTGCTTAAGTATATTATACTGTATTGTAAACAACTTCATTAATTTTGTAAAAATAGATTGAGATTACATTGTAAAAGAATAGTCTACTATAAAGTCATCTTTTTCTTAATATAAATGATGACAGACTTAAAACTTAACCTAAAGCACCCTTAAGCCTAAAACAGCAGCACTATACACTTAAACAATAAAGAGAGTGCCAAGCAACTTTTTTCTATGTGTATGATTAGAATTTCAAAACACTTGTGTGTAGACTCTAACTAGTTAGTGAGCCAGATGACGTGGGCTCCATATTCTCTTCCACAGTTTTTTTCAACTTTTGACATGGACAAGTTAGGGAAAATCCATCCATTCTGCTGGAAAGGGGACTTTTTAATTTGTAAAATTGCCAAGTTTGCAAATGATTTGTTGAAAACTAATGAAGATATAGGTCCTCAAAGTCCTAAAATTTTACAGATGTTTGTATTGTGGGGGGCACAAACTTGACACCAACCATACAAACGTCTGTAAATTTTCGCAACTTTGTGGAGGTATATATTTGCTCGCTTAATATATACCACTTTAAAACTTGGGAATATTACCAATTTTAAGGCGCTCATTCCAATGGTGTCAACGGATTTTTCCTGACTGGTCCATGTTTAAAGTTGAAAATACCTTGAAGGGGTCTATTCTTATCATGTCGTGTTTATGAGATAATCATAGCAATAATAGTGATCAATCTCAGTCCTTTCCTCTTTGTTATATTATATAAGTGTACAACCAGACAGTTAGGATTAATGTTTGTGAACCATGAAGCACATGAGATATTTGTGTTACTGACTAGGCATGAACCTAAGATGGCCCATCTTGCCCATTTGGATTTCCCAGTTAGTCCCACAAGAAAAAGTTCTACTAATGGGAACCTTTATTGACCCAGCTTGTTTGGTCAAGATGGCTGGATATTAACCTCGTTCTCTTTTGCATTTTTTTTTTTTTACCTCGACTTCATCTTGGTCCATAAAAACACGAGGAAAACTTGGCAAATATCCAGCTACAGTGTATCTTGACTTCACAAGTGGTTAATTTAATGCATACATATTAAATTCTGGATCAACATTTTATTGTTAGGTGAGTGGATATCACATTGGGTGTGATTTTAGCCCTGATGGTTCAATCATTACCTCTGGTTCTGCAGATGGACAAATCTATTTTTATGATCATCACATATCCCACATGGTGAGAACATTACAGGCTCACTCTATGCCATGTATGGATGTTGCTTTCCACCCCACCCTGCCAAACTGTGTTGCTAGTTGTGGGTGGGAGGGACAAGTCAAAGTTTGGAAGTAACAGCCGTGATTGTACTGGAGTGTATTAAGTGTACAATAACTATTCATTTTTTGACTCTCATCAAAATTTCTCGAAATAAGATATTTATCTGTCTTTTATAGTTTTAAGTTTAATTCTCAACTGTTCATACACGTTATTGTCTCTTTGGACTTTTTATTTTCAAGAGAAAAGTGTTTTCATATTTCGCCTACTTTAGGGCGTGGTAGTCCTTCTATTTATTTTCAGTGATAAAAATTTATTTATCTCTTTTTAATCATTAAAATTATAAACACCATATTCATTGATCAATAATCTTAAAAACTATTAACCATGAATGATTTTGATATAAAATATATTTATATGGTGTTTGAAACACTTTTTTCTCCTTTGAGTTCTTACATGTGCAATCCACACAGTCAACAAAATTAAACAATAATATATTGATCACATCTGTCAGACGAATAATCACTAAGGGCCTGTTTACATGAGGTGGGGGACCCTGGTCTAGTGGGGTTGGTTTCTTTTGTTTTCACGCTCTGGGGGACACAAAACAAAAGAAACTTACCCCACTAGACCAGGGTCCCCCACTCCATGTAAACAGGGTCTAAATAATGTTCTGTATTTGACAATGATATCACTTTTTTTGTGCAAATGGGAGGTTAAAATGAGCTACAGCCATGTTACACATTGAACACCCAACATTTTTAACATTTTAAATGCAGTTGTTTTCAAACAGAAGCTCTTCCTTTGTGTAATAAGCTCAAAATCTTTTTGATGTCCTTGTTTTGCTTCTGAGTTGCTCATTTACAGGCAACTAATAATGGCCCTTTTGCCATATAATAAAATAAAATAATAAAATGTGTTTCCCTAACTACTGTACATTGTAAAAAACCAAAGTAAAACTCAGAATCACAGTATTTTATATCTTGACTCTTTAAAGCTAGGACTGTAGAGTGGAACCGCGATTTAACAAACCTGTACATAAGAAACTCCTCGGTGTAACGAACAATATTCCTCGCCCAAGTTATAGTAAATATATATATGGAAAAGAACCTCAATATAAGGAAACCTCGTTATAGCGAATGTATTTGGCCAGTCCCTTGGTCATTCATTATATCGTCGACCTCATTTACATTTCCTTGTCACTTTTCATTAATTGCCTAGCAAAATTTCGTAATATTTGTTATTTTCGCCTTTTTTGGTGGTTTTCGTAATTTTCGCTGTTTCGTCGAGGGCCTTCCTCGACCTCATTTACATTTCCTCGTCATTTTTCTTGCATGGCGTTGCAAAATTTCGTAATATTTGTTATTTTCGAATTTTTTAGTAGTTTTCGTAATTTTCACTGTTTCGTCGAGGGCCTTTCTCGACCTCATTTACATTTCCTTGTCACTTTTCGTCCATGGCCTTGCACAATTTCATAATATTAGTTATTTTCGCTGTTTGGTCGAGGGAGTTAAATCCTGGGCATATCTCAGAAAAACGGCACCATTTTCCCACCTAATCTAAACCCGAGCAATTTCACGAAGTTTACAGCTGATAACATTGACAACAGCGATTCGTCATTAGATGGAAACAACGCCTTCAACGCAACACAGGCAGCTGCTTGATCACTAAACTTTACAACATACTTGTAGTAAACTTAGAATTGTTAAAGGAAAGAAAACTCCTTATTTGGACAATGGCGTCAAAGTGAAATGCCCAAAACTTCACCTTAACACAAGAATTGAGCTTGGCAACAATGATTTTCGCAATCAGCGTTACTCAAGTTATTAGGAATAGGTAAAAATCACACAAAGATGTCCGCTGGTTTTACATTTTGGTTTCCTGTGTACCCGACTAGTAAGCGAAAATCATCGGTCGAGCGTTAGCGGCCAATTTAACGTATTTTATTCAACATATCGTTGAATAATTAATTAATGACCTAGCCTGAGTGAGTTGATACCTGTTCGTGACAGCTTGGCTAGTACTTGCGTGATGGCATGTTGTGATGTTCAAACATGGCCAAGTGAGTGTAATAAATATTTATTTATGATATGCAAAACACCGTGTACCCTATATAAAACATGCCACGTCTTCTTTTCATTTCCATCGCATTAAGATTTTAAGATTAGAATGGCTTTTAAGTCTGTAATCCCAGTGACTTGTTTAATGATATGTCATGATATGTAACTGTTGTAAACGGGAGTTGATTTCGTGGCCAACAGATAAGTGTCGACTGCTTGAGTATCTCTAGACTTGGCCGGTTTCGGGCTATCAATATTCTAAGAGACTTGTAAACACTCAAGTCCTGATCACACTCATATTCATCGTTTATTGCTAAATCAAGGTACTTTTATACATATTGGTAGCTAAATCATACGTGGGAAAATATAGTAGGGAATGCATGTGGTTTCCTTTCTAGTAAACACCCTAATTCGATTGAAAGCTTAAAACACTATTACTCCTACATTACTTACGTAAATCCTGAGCGGCTAGGTTTGAGTAATCATTCCATCCTACACAAAATCCTATCAGTTTAAAGGGTGTAGCTTGTAGCTTTTACGCTATTCCGATCGGAAGGCACATCTAACTATCTACTTTACACGATGCACATTTTTGCACGCTTGCTTACACAATAGGGATCATATTTCCGGTTCCTATCAAGCTAGTAATTGATCTATTGTTCACTCAAGATTAACAAGTCACGATTCATTGTACAAAGTGTCACGAATTCTTTAACTTTACTACACTATCCCCCCCTTAGAAAAGGGCATGTCCCCATGCCATGCAACAAAGGAAAGGAAAACTACTGGATTCTTAAGCAAAATAGAAATCACTGGGTGTACAGTCACTATAAAAAAAAATATCAACTCTGATTGCAGCTACAGTAAGAAAATTAATCAAAGTTCATTCAAAAATTAAGAAACAAAGTCTCTCATCCAAGCAGGGGCATGAACTTCTCTTCTTGGTCTGTCTACAACAGGGGGAGGCACTACTTCAGCTACTGGTTCTGGAGCTGGCACTTCTGCCTCTGTGGAGTCCTCTTCCTCAGCTCTTGCTAATGTCTCGTTCCTGTCAGCTGCAGTACCGTCCGCATACATAAGATCAGTCTCATCCGGAACATAGCGAGGGGGAAGATGAGGTCTCCGCACTGGCAAACTGGAAGGCTGGCCAGTAGGCTGATCAGGTTGCTGGGCCCTCTGTTGTGGCTCGCCACACAGCTTCAGTCGATTGAAGTGGACTACTCGCCGTTTTCTGGGGTTGTCCACTTCTTCTATCCGGTAAGTTACATCGCTGATCTTCTTTACCACCACGTGTGGACCATGCCATGGCGAATGCAACTTCTTTGTCCGTCCTGACTTGATTACAGGAAAATGAAGGTACACATGATCTCCAACCTTTATCTCGTCTCCAGCGACGCGGCGATCATAGTAGTCCTTCTGTCTTCTCTGGGCAGTCTTCAGGTGTTCTCTAGCTCTCTCATGGGCTTCTTCTAAGGTGGATCTGAGGTTCCTGGCATACTCAGAGGCTGCTTCCTGCTGATGAGGTTCACGACCATACATAACGTCTAAGGGCAACCGTACCTCATGTCCAAACAACAGGTAGTGGGGTGTGTACTGGGTAGAGGAATGAATGCTGGACCGGTATGCCATCATAACCATGGGTAGGTGAACATCCCAGTCATGCTGGTGCTCGGCAACATATTTTGCCAGCATGTCCTGTATCGTACGGTTCATGCGCTCGACCATGCCATCACTCTGTGGGTGGTATGGCGTTGTTCTCGTTTTCTCGATACTGAAGAGGTTACACATTTCCTTAAACAGCTGGGCTTCGAAGTTCCGGCCCTGGTCAGTGTGGATACGCTCAGGTGCCCCGAACCTGGAAATAACCTCGTTCACCAGCTTTTCTGCCACTGTCTTTGCCTCTTGATTCGGGATTGGGAATGCCTCGGTCCACTTTGTGAAGTAGTCTCCAACAACCAGAATGTACTTCTGACCAGATTCTGTTGTTGGTAGGGGACCCATGATGTCCAAAGCAATCCTCTCAAACGGGTAACCGGGACAGCTGCTGACAAGGGGTGCTCTTCCTGGCTGCTGTGGGGACTTCCTCCTCGAGCACTTTTCGCACTGTTGGCACCAATCTTCGATGTCATGCTGCTGACCATACCAGTAGAAGCGTTCTCTCACTCGCTCCAAGGTCTTAGTTACTCCCAGGTGGCCAGCTGAGGGTGCATCGTGAAGGGCGGAAAGGACTTCGGATACCATGGACCTGGGAAGTACTAACTGCAGCCGCGTACCATGACCATCATCTGTTTCCCACCGGCGGTAAAGGACACCATTCTCCAACTGCAACCTGTTCCATTGTGCCCACAAGCTCCTGGTTGCCTTACTGGTTCCTTCTATCTCCTGGAAAGCCGGTTGGCTGGTCTGGTTCTGCTTCCAAGCCAAGATCTTCTTCAAGTCAGGATCCGCCCCTTGACTGGATCGCAGGTTGGTCACTGTCCAACTGGGTACCCAGGTACTGGTGCTGCTGCCTACTGCATTGGTCTGGGTTATCTGGTCAGTGTCCTCAGCAACCACCAGGGGATTTCTCGAAAGCGCGTCAGCATTCTGGTGTTTTCGTCCTGGTCGGTGTTCAATCTTGTAATCGTACTGGGCCAACAACTCGAGCCACCTGGCCACCTGTCCCTCGGGTTCCTTAAAGCTCTGAAGCCACTTCAGTGCATTGTGGTCTGTTCTGACAGTAAACGGTCTTCCATACAGGTAATGGCGGAAGTGTCTGATTGCGTAAACCATAGCAAGCATCTCTTTCTTGGTAGTGCTGTATCGGCGCTCACGATTGTCCAGCACACGACTTGCATACGCGATCACTCTCTCACTCCCGTCCTGCTCTTGAGAAATAACTGCTCCGAGGCCATAGTCACTCGCATCACAGTCCACAATGAACTTTGCGTCACTTCGGGGAAAGGCCAGTACAGGAGCTGTCACCAATTTCTCTTTCAGGCTACGGAAGGCTCTGTCGCACTCTGAAGACCACTGGAA